TGAAGTCCAATCGGCGCGTCTATCATGGCAGGCGTAATTCTCGCTTGGTTTCAGTATTTTTTGTTCCTCGATGTTTCAAGCTTATGCAATACGGTCATCAGTTCTGCCTATCATATTCTCAACTCTAAGTATATACGATATTCAGTACCACTTTCAGACACGACGTTGTACAAGAATGAAGGATATGGAACAATGCTAATGATCTAGCCCCAGTAGACTATTTTTATTTTGGGATGTTTAAGGTATGATACACATCTTTAATCATATTAAATATTCACTGGCAGTTATTTCTGTTCATTCAAATTATTTTAATTATCATCGTCCACCACCATTTACTATGCATAGAAAATTCGGTGTTTGGGATATTTAACATTATAACTAGTTCGCTGTGGCTAAGTTAAGGCGGCATCAATGCAACTGATGGCATTCTAGCGAAAAATCAAATTTGATTTGCATAAAATCATTCACCTGGTTTGATTTAGGCCATCCGATATATTCCGTCATTTTGAGCTTTATCGTATTTGAGTGGATGAGCTCACATGTGTAACAAATACAACCAATATTAACAGGGGTGGAGGTAGCTGGTCTAAAGCGTCTCCCAAGTACAACGACACGCATTCGTCACAAACCCGAACGTATTAATGAAACAGAGCGGAATCTGAGGAATGCACTGTCTGTGTTCGAGTCGATGCTCATCTCTGTTTTAAGCTGTGGTCATGTGTCGTAGGTCAAGATTAAATCCCTTCAGTACCGGATGCATTCGACTGAAATGGACCTTCTAAGATGAACGGCTGTTCTCACTCGTTTCGGCTGTAGCTCAGACATTCCGGAGAGTCCATGTGTTCAGTCGTTATTTTTCCAGGTTTAGAAGTCACAGCTGCGATGTTTTTGGCGTTTTACGAATGCTTCCAGAGAGTAAGGCGAAGCAACTGCCACTTCCTCCACAGATTGGCCAAAGACCTGAGGAACGACGAAGAGTGAACTTAGGAAGTGTCTTCAGAGACTCCGTTCCAGATTCGAGTTATCGACCGCCGAGACTCAAACTCTGACACAAGGTCCGGAAAGTTGCATGCGTTTTACAACGCGTCTTCCTCCGCTACTCGAAAGCATAAACGATCATTGAGATTGACCGACTGTCGCATTTATACTCAATCATTGGAAACAGGTAATTATCGAATACTTCCGTTTAAACTCAAGAACCGTTTTTAGAATGAGGACTCTTCAATTTTCGAAAATCTCACCATTCCAGCTTCACTCTTCCTCTGCTTTTTGTTTTCCACTGTAGACATCAACTGCAGGCAGTAACCATGGTTCTGCTCCACTTCAAACTTGACTAAATTTAAATTCTACAGTGCTTTTTAAAGAGCCTGTTGAAGACGACTAGAGTCCTCGATGTAGCTTACTATTCGTACGTTGAAAACAAACAGTGTAAATACATAGTAGTGTACAACAACCTTCAAATTCATTCTCACGCCAGGTTTGACGCTTGCATCTTGTATTCTTCAGCGTGATTCTTTTGAAGATATGGTGAGGATCATAACATCGCTGAAACACCACATGTGGTTTAAGTACAAATCACGCTTCTTGAGTCAACTGTGACTTACCCTGTCGTATTCTGCCATTTACAAGTAGAGCGGAAGGACAATGAGTTGTTTTTCACTGTTTGCCTTCATTTTTCTGGCTAATCTTTAGCCTTACGCTACGCTCACTGGATATGGTATTCGAAAAGTAAGCCGTGTGATCTAATGTACTATTTTTCAGCCCTGTGGAACAGAGGCATATCATTCATCACTCGTTTCCATAATCGCTGTCTATGCCTTCTTCACACGACATCATCGAGCGATAGCTTAGCTACGTCCTCTTCTTCGCCTGACTTTTTCCAGTCTTGTCTGAGATCAATATCTTTCTTGATCTACTATGCTCTGACGCTTATTTCATCGTTCTTATACTGTTCGTGACTGACGTGAGCCTGACTGCTACATCGCCGTTGTCTTGACCTGCAGACAAATCACCGTTGAAGCATGGTCACGACTGGACTTGGTCTGTTGGCCTTGAACTTCAGGAAAAGACCGCACCGCCGCCCGTCCGTTGGTTGACGGCAGTCGGTGAGCTTCGATTAGCAGGAAGCAATTGAACTCTCTAGACTCTGCCGACAACCGACGCCGCAGCATCGTTAAAAGCCGTTGCTGCCGTGTGCTGTGCCTCAGCGCCATCAGCTCTTGTCGTCGATACTCGGCCGCCGACGAGTTCCGGCAACCTACTCTGCCTTCGCCTCTTTCAGTCTGTCAGACTCCGCCCGCATATTCGCCTCTACCTCGTCGTTGTAGCCGCTGTTGACGCTCGTCGTCGATCGCTCGTCGACTTCCTCGCTTTCGCCCGGACATTTTCCTGCCAGACTCTGAAAACGGCACTCACAGCCATGAAGCAGCCACTCCACTCGTTGCTCGGCTCTAATTTTCAATAGCGTCGATCATCCAGTCGAACTCAGGTATATTTCTTACGTTGTCTGGCGATGTCTTCGGAGTAGAGTCAAGGAACTCAAATGTCAGGAGTACGGTCGAGGTCGAAGGTCGTCGGAAGACCGTTACTCGGTTTCGTTCGATTAAGATAGAATGCTTGCTAAGCTCCTGGGGTGTCTTCCATGCAAGAGCATAAGCAAAATAAGAAAAAATCTTGGCTGGCTATATTGCAGCAACGACTCTGTGAATGGACATCATTTCTTCAACCTTTGCAAGCATCTGCAACTCGCGATCAGGCGCTAGGACCATTCCGTGAAATAACTTGCCTCGACGACTGCATGAAACTGCCCCATAACAGTGGGCGTGCTTTAGAAAGCTGTTTCGTTGGTGTCACATGGCTTGATTCTGAGTCGCTGGTAGCAAAGCGACTGCTGGACTCCCTTGCTAATGTTCACAAACGTTTCGAGAACATTTTGTTGTTGTTGTCTCACTTAATAACCTCACAGGCTAGTTCCATGGCGGCTGAGCATGGCAGTGACACGGGAGGAACTCAGTCGGTTTTTCGACAACTACGTTTCAAATGAAATTATGCCATTTGAAATGGAGAAGTTGTTTTCCACCCATCTTCTGGTTTGCTTGAAAGTCTTTCACGTGCATGCTCTGCCCCTTCCTCCGGCCCAGATCTTGACCGCCGGCTCCATGCAACAACACAGGTGATATATTTAGGTTGCTCAGAATCTTATTTTGATGCACTGTAATACGTCGCTCGATAAATGAATAGGGCTTTTATCCCACATAATCGATATTACTCAGATCAGGGGGCTCTGCCCTTGTGATTTACAGCATCTTGAGGAATCTCGCCACTGCGTAATAGTTCAAATCCTTCAAATGACTAGCTATCCATTTGAACATTTACTTCTGTACGGTGTGGGGTCCTTGTTCCTTCGCCAAACAAGTCTCATCTGCCCTTTCATTTTGAACGCCATATATTTTCTGTCGTGTATGAGTTCAAAGACTGTCAATGAGAGTTCTTCCTCGCGCTTGTTTTGTTCTTCCGCTAAATCTTTCCCTTTCTACTGATAAATAATCCTTAACACCGCATGGATAATCTGAAAGTAACTTTCACGCATGGTATCCGGCATACATCCAGTTGTTTCGTCTTTCAAACATCAATGGCAACGGTCAACAAGCAAGTTGAAAGAGGTGTACTTGCTTTTACGTTTTGAATTTTTTTCCTTTTGCCATTTTCTGCCACACGCTTTGCACATATGTAAATATGGCGCATTTATACCGCATTTAACTGAAGTGACATTTCTCAAATGCCAGGCAGCCATTGAGGCATAGATGATTTAAGCACTATACTGAAATACAGTCAGGTAAGATACAGTGAAGTCAATCGGCCATTGGATTATCATAGGCCAATTACGGTAATGAACATCAATTGCATGCGCTGGAGAGGCACCCAGTCAAGTCAAAGTTCAGCGCGAAAAGGCTTCCGGGATTGGGCAGCAAACTACTCAGAAAGGAACACGAGCTCGATGCTTAGAGTGAATCGATATCATCAAAGAAAGAAACTGGATGAACGGAGACATTATTTATTCAGCAGCGTGAAAATGTCAACCCGAACCAGGGATGCTAACTTTGCACGGACTCGGTGATTGCCTCTTCGCTGCTGTCGCCACGAATCTACTTAGCCGACGCGGATCGAACGCTCGCCTCTCGGTTCCGAACTTACGGTCAGTTGCTGACGACATGTGTGATTTCCGCCGAATTTTACCTCCATGATTACCTTGAAGAAGACCCTTGAGGCACAGGCCGAAACATTGGTAAGATCAGTCTTTTGAGCAGCTTTTACATTGCGTGTAAAACAATTTCATGCCATTTTTCAGTATGAGTAGCAACGTACGAACAAAATATTCTATTTTTTGATATTGTGGCTTCCACTATCATTTTTTCAGTCATACATATATGCATCATAGTTCTCAATGTCAAGGAGAATGAAAATGGGCCTGAGCAATTACCGCAGGATTGAATTGTACGAAATAACAAAATTGAATTTGTCATGTACTGACTTTACGCCATCCATGAATCCCGTCGTTAATCCAGAGTGATACCCTGGAGCAGACGGATCTTTTGAGGTCTGTATTTAAATTTGACTTCGAGAATGTCGCTTTAAACGCATAGCATACTCTGACAGAAAGGCTCAAGTTAGCAGCTTGAATTTCCTTCGAAAAATTGCAAAAGTCTGTTATTGCGCGGATTGTTGTTGACAAGAATATACTCTCATTGTTGACAGCCAGGATATTTCAAGAAATTCTGTTGGAAACAGTTAAATCCCCTCGAAATTATATGCCTCATAGCAGGTTTCAAAACATTTTTCGCTGATATTGATATGGTGTTCTGATTTAAGAGGCTATTATTTTGCTACAACCAGAGTTTCTAATACAGTATGATATTTTAGGGTTCTCAAGCTCAGGTATTTTTTTGTTCTGTTGAAAAGTACAGCAGCGTGAATTAATCCTCTTCCGTAGACATTCATGAGCGCGGTAGTGAGTCACGCAATGAGGGTAACGCCGTTGCTAGACCCATCTCAGCACAATTTGCCACAAAGCCCCTTATGAAAAAATTAAACGATATCTTGGAGGACATGAATGGGCCTTCGGCAGCTTATTGAGGCACCATAAATCACAGTATCACTATAAGTGAGGAACTCCTCATGTCATTTAGTCGAATTTACACCGTCCTCTTGTTTCTAGTTGCATAGAAGATCGTTTAAGCATGTCACAGCTGCATGGAATTTGAATGCCTGCAGTGCTTCGGTACAAGGCCACGTCATCGTATTGTTCCAAACAAAGACTCGTTCAAACACAAATGAACTGCCTTTATGCTTAATCATATACGTTTGGATTTCTTGAAATCATCACCCTACGCCGTTCGCTTATGCAAAAGACTCTGATTTGTGATGTCCACTGTATTCGCAGCTTTTCAAAACTTTTGCTACAACGTAGAAAGAAATATTCCTCTTCGAAAACAGATTTGTCTCAATTTTGTTTTTCACTGTTGTATGTTGACCTCCTCGCCTAGGTCTACTGTGTTTCGAGAAACTCATAGTCTGGAGTAATTGACTCATGCTAAACCAGTTAACAAGACCAACCCTGATTTATTGATCTCCGCATTTTTTGAGGGAGCCACCGTGCTCGCAATAGAATAGGGTCATTCCCTACGCGAATCTGTCAATTAACCCTCATCATGCGTCAAGGCCAATGCTGATGTGCAATGTTTAACTGTCTCCATGCCGCACTTCAGGTCAGCTTCCGTAAAAGTGAAGTGTTTCTACTATAGCTGCTCTGACCACTGGAAGAAGTTGTCATGTACATGGATATTTTCACCCACTGAACCGTAGTAACGCCCTTTGCCCACTCTTAGAACGCAACGGATTTGTCCGTTCCTTCAGTGTCAAAAGACCGAACGACGGTGATTTGGGGGTTCTTCCCCAAAGTATTTCCGGCTTCTACACCTTGCTTCTCCAAACTGCCGGTAGCCAATTCAGCTGCGTTTCGTCAGATCACTGCTGAAGCGAAAAATGCCACTTTTTCCGGATGGCGATTGGCGCACATTATTTCTCGTTTCCATCTCACATGAGCAAGTTACCTTTCATGGCAGGAAAAAAACCGTCTTTGAACCTCAGTGTGGCGCGCTCAATCGACAGCATCGGACGTTGCTGGGAACCTTTAGAGACTATAGCAACTATTGTCCCGTAGACAGCTTGAGTCATGATTGATTTGGTGATTTCTGTGCCCCTTGAAACATCGTTTTTTGAATAACCGTTGGAGAAGTTAAACCGCTGTGAGAGACATCCTGCCCTTCCTTGATCGTCCGTTAAATCTGTCGTGATCCATCAAAGAAAAGCCGTCTCGAGCAGATGTATTCTCCACGCATCCCGTCAAGATTACCGCTAGCAAAAGTGCATAAGACTCTCCCTCACGAAAATTCAGGAAGATGTGCCAACCAGGAATGAGGACAATATGGGTAGCAGCCTCTATTCATTACAGACTCAAATGATTAAGCAGTACAGCTTTACAGTGACCTATGATTTAAAGAACTGATAGCTTGGCATGTTCACAGCTACGCCGTTGTGTTTAAACAGAAAGATTTGTTACGGACTTTTCGTTTAGAAGGTGTGAAATTTATCGAAGTCGTCCGTGCGCAGAATTTGCTTCACTTCATTACACTGAACACACCGAGCATACGAATTGCACCACTTTTCAGATGTGCTCGAGCGAAGATCTGGACGCCTAATCGTACGCCATGGCGTTTATGGTCGAAGCAAAATACTAACAGGCAGAACTTCAAGCAGGGGCATCTTTATATGTTCTGCTTCCTTCCAAGACAGTAGGCCACCTTCGCATCGTCCTCTATTTTCCATCCTCCTGCCTCTTCCTACTCTCATCACGTGACCCTTATTGACAGCCCTGATTTAGTCAAAAACTATAATACAACAAACATGATGAACAGGGCAACAAACGGTCGTAAACCTGATTATGAAACCTTTATATATCACGAAACTTTCGAATCCTAGCATAGTGTTCCATTACCAGTATGATACGGTTAATATTGCGATTGTCATGCTGATAAAGAACACCACGTAACGGTGTCAAACATAATATTTGCGAGCTTGCTATCGTTCATCACCCCTTAATGTTTATTGCCTTCGACCTGGCTATAGGCCTCAAAAGGGAACCATCATCTGTGCTGTTTGATGACCGAGCTTCGTGCGATCCATGATCGACTCTGCAGTATTACCAAAACCACGAGGGAAACATTTCTGATATTAGTAACGTAGTATATAGTAGTGTGATCTATGTACCTACGCTTACTGTCAAATGGAGAATGACTCCTCCAAAAGTAGATTCCACGGCATATACCACCGCCACTTGTTCTTATTTGCCTAGCGGACACTCAAGCAGGCTAGGGCCATATGATATTCGATCGTCTGCAGTGCAAACGCATCTCGCACCATTCACCAGGTGTAATGCGCTATGAAACCTGGCCTCGGATGCGTCATTAATTATTTGGCATACTCGGGCCTGCGAACACCTTAATGATGTTTAAGCGGTACGCTTAATGTCCTGCTAATGTTCTGTCCATGGTTCTGGCAATACAGTAGGTTCAGCGAGGGATTTCATGACATTCATATATCATTAATTATTACGCCAGTGCACATGTTGTACTGGATAATTTTATAATCAGGTTGCGCATGAAATATGTTATGCAGTGAAAGCGTCGCTTAGGAGAACAGCTGTACGATGCATTGCTGAAAATCGGTTTCTACATTCCTAGTCAGTGTACGGTTAGAAACGTTGAATAGCTGCATTTTCTGAATGCATCTTCTTCGTAGTCTCAGACCGGAACATTAGCCCAAGAGTAAGCGTAAGTACATAGTGTTGACAGTACTTCTTTGGCATCAGAAATGTTCCCCTCTTGATTCTAGTGCATTACCAAAGTCACGAGTAGAACATTTTGTAACGCTCTATATGTACTATATACTTCTGCTCAATGACCGGCTAATATCTTCTCCTGGGACTACGAGGAAGACGCTAAAACAACGAATACATGGAATGCAGCTGCTGCACACTACTGACACCTCTACCGTAACTGCAAAGGAATACAGAAGGTGACTCTCAGTTCTGCATCGCGTGTGCCGTTCTCTTAAGTGATGCTGACACTGCAGAGTACATGAAGAACATGCCTTAAGCATCGCATAATGCAGTAAAAAGTATTCATTGGCTTTGTGTTCACAAAATATCAATCTTCCTGTCCTCATCGCTGGATTCGACTGTGACGATCGTGATGGTTAGCGTGGTACTACAAAATGCTGTGAGGTAGAGTACCTCTGAAAGCCTCTCGTGAACCCGGAAATGACTGACTAACGAGGCTATGGTAATCAGGTTTAAGAGTTGATAATTGAGCTTCTTATGCCATTCAGGGCAATTTTCTCTCAGAAAGAAGAAAATCTGCCAAAGCCTATGAACAAAAGATTTTGAGGCAGTTTGTATTGATTACATGAAAAACGAGCAAACCTTCCTCATGTTTTGTCTACTGTAAGACAACAGAATGATGATTCATAGAAGAATGATGCCAGATTCGGTGTAATTTTGTATGTGTGATGAATGATACCGGAAAGTGTAAGAAAAATTGATGTGCTGGTTTGATGGCGAAAACCTAGGAACTCCTTTAGACCTGTGAAGTGTCGCTCATGACGATTCCTATGCCAGATCAGAACGAGAATGTTTTCATGTTTGAAGCCATCACCTCAAACTTTGCTGAAACTTGTTCTTCGTTTCATTATCCATATGAAAGAAGATGGCAGGCAATTTGTCACGGTGCCTCCGCTATCGAAAGCTTATCCAAAGTAGATTTATGTCGCATTTAACAGGATGGATGAGAAACAGCATACTGCTGATAACTCAGGTTTGCGTAGTATATTTAGTCGCAATATACACCAG